TCATTGAATTTCAAGGACTAGATTATACTTAGAATAGGAGAGTAGGTCAAGATCACCTACACAGATGTTTATCGAGCCCCGCAACCTCTGTGCTTTCTTGTCGTATCTCCATTCTTTTTAAGAAGAATTTTAAGCTTCTTCTTCAGCTCACTCTTTGTAATGAACAGTTTACACTGTTTAAAAAAATGGAGATGCGACAAGAAAGCACTTGGGTCGTGATATGAGGGCTCTATCTTCCTCAGAAGGATTCTTCACAGAACCAATGTTTTCGGCAACAGTTGGATACAGCAGAATTCAGTCATCTTCTGTTACTCAACTTTGTGCAGTCACTTTCTATTACAATGGAATCCTGTTATAAAGAGAGGGAGGGGACTGGTGCCATATGTCCGTCATAGCAGGATTCTTGTTATACGGGATCCAGTAATAAATTCAAAGGAAATAGGAAAGTAGGCCTAATCTATGAGTCTAGTTCTCGGTTTATTTCTTTTCGTAATCTCCCCTAAAGATGATTTGGTTCAACATGACCTTTAAGTCTTACTTGACCAGAAGTCGAATCAGGTTTCTTTCTCTAGCGCTAGCGATGTTGACAGCTCGGCGTAGGCGATCAGAAAGAAAGTTCTCTAGGCTAACTCGCCCGCTGTGTTTTCCCCCACCCCACCACACCCTGTGGTGCGTTTCATCTGCATGTGTACAATAGGAACATACCACACCCCGCCCACGTCACACATTCGCTCCGTCCATCATAGTACAGCACCATGACCTCTCCATCCCCGCATCGGAGAAGTGTGAGGCATGATAGGCCTAGATAATCTAGACTAGGCTGGCCTATCACACGGTGCGTTCTACTTGTCTGTGAATGCCACACTCTCCCCACTAATTCAATCAGGCCTTTATTGTTGGCACACGTGGGCTCTCCCATTCTTTGTTTCGCAAGATACCTAATAAGTTTCTCAACTGGCGAGGTTTTACATGAATATATGGCCTATGCGCTGTGCACAGCAGCAGCAATATTACGCTATAACCTACTCGTGAGTTTGCTTGCGTTATAGCAGTATTTTATTTACGAAGATAAAGAAGGGAAAAAACGGGGTTTTAGAAAAGTGTCTTTATAACAGACTTCTCGTTATTTCAGGACTCGTTATAAGTGGATTCCACTGTATCTCACCATATTCAACTCCTGAGCTTCTACCTGAAAGCCAAGTGAACAGAGATCAAGATATTTGCAAATGAAGAAGGTAGGTGTCCCATGGTTTCAGAGTTAAAATTAGCGAGAAAATGGCCACCAAAGTTTGGTGACTTCCAAAGCTTGAGAGTCCTTTGAAACAAAAAATTAACATTCTTTAAGCCTTTAATCAATGTTTTTACTAAAATTAACACAGAAATGTAATTTGGAATGGGCAGAAAAGGTGTTGAGCCAAAAACAAAAATTCAATAACAATTCCAAACCAGCACAAAAATGCCAGTTTCTTTCATTGCATTATTTTGATGAGCGCCAGATCGCACTGCCATACCACACAAATACTTGGTGCCCATTATAACGAATAAATATGACCAACTTACCTTGAGGTCTTTTTCAAAATAAAACGGATTTGTACAAACAACTTTGGTACACATATATAGGGATGAACTATTTTTTTTTAAACGTTTGCTGCTGTGAGCAAAATGACAAGGATTGAAGAAATTCTATTTCAGCTTCTCTACATCACCGTAAACCCAGTACAAAACTAAAATACACCTACATTATAAGACTGTTTCTTGCTCTACTTAAATTCGAGACAGTAAAGCTATATCACAGAGGCAGGCAACAGATATATATATATATATATGTGTGTATGTGTGTGTGTGTGTGTGCTGACAAAATGAGTTACTTCTCGTAATCTATAATGAAGAACTTGGCTAGAAATCCACACTGGGGTCAAATTTGTCGATTTTCTGTTGATGCCATATTCTTTAAGTATAACATGTCTTTTATTATTTCATGCTTATAAATTGTAAAACTTCAGCTATAAGCGTGATATATCTATTTCTATAAGGCTCGAATCCGAGAAGTTCTCATTTTGTCAGCACACTTCACATGGTTCAATGAGTTATTTGAAAGAGTACTTTACTGAATTAAGTAAATCTTTGTCTAAAAAGTTGTAAATGTCAGGTAAACAACGGGAGTCTCTGCTGCCTCCTTCATTCTTTCATTCCACAGCTTTTGGGGGAACACACTTGTCTATAACGTCGGCCAGCTGGTTAGATGTATTATACCCAAAATTTAGAAACATTTAAAAATCACAGCGAGTTTCTTCATCTGAGGTACCTGTTGCATGTGCTCAAGAAATATTTAATTTTGTCAAAATTTAAAGTTTTTCTCTCTCCCGTAAAATTTTGCTGTCTGGGCTAAGTGCATCTGATCAGCTCGCTGGCGATAAAAACAAAAACGACACTTGTGTTTAACTGACAATAAAAACTAAAACGACACTCGTCGTCGTGTTAAACAAGATCTACACAACATATATGTTCAAAACCAAACAAAAGTCAGCAACCAACCAAGGCACACAGGGGAACTATAGTTGGATGTGCTCACAGGAACAAAAATCCATGTTGCAAGATTTTACACGAAAACTACACTCTATTCAATAGTCTCAACTCATGAATATATAATGTATTTATATATATAATATATATCTTCAGAATTGCAGAGCTAAAATACTGTACACCGAGGCCTCCACAAGATGTGAACAAAGTGCACCAAACCTCGGTAAATCACCTAACCATTAAAATGTTATCACCAATACTTGCAAATGCATCATATAAAAGTTAAAAATTTCATCAATATATATACGTATTATTATCACATCCAAACTGTCTCAGCCCAGTATCCTGAAAGATGGCACTAGGACACATAAGAACAGTCATACAAGTGGAATGTGACAAATATATGGCATTATAGTAATACATTTTGCACTGCATTCAACACTAACGGGTGTCTGGAAAAAAGGACCCATTAACATTTTTTTTAAATTGATATTTTTTTAACATGAGAATGGATTTAATTCCTCATTACATGATTATTTTCCGTCCCCTTGGTTTAATCTTATTTGTTCCAAGTTTTGTTGGATAGGTGCAAAGACGACCAAGTTATTGTTCTTTCAATGGGATCTCTTTGTCCAGACAACCTGTATTTGTTTCAAAGAGAGATAATTCAAAAATCAATACTGCAAACAGTGAAGTAAGCTAATAGGAGTAGGAAAATTGAAAAGCACACAGAAAAAGACAGCAACAAAAAACAAATTGTTAAAAAACCCACAGTGCAGCCTCTCTATAACGACCTTCGAAATAACGACATCCTCTGTATAGCGACATGGTGCCCAGGTCCTGATTTTTTCCTTATATATATCATTAGTAATATTTTGGTTGCCTCTCTATAACGACATTTTTTCTGGTCCTGACAATGTTGTTATAGAGAGGCTGCACTGCAGTTGAAAATCAGAGACCATGAGAGGGGAGATGAATGGTTAAAGGTCACACTAACACCAGAGATTTTAAAACCAAGCTTTTCGTTTTGAAGTCAGACAGCTTATGTGGAAGACATGACAATAATGTTAACTACATTCTTGCCAAACAAAAGGAAAAAAAAAAGCAGCAGGAGAGGGTAGTTGGTCCAAACTGCCTGGGCAGGTGGGCAAAGTCACTGCTGATTAGACGTTAAATGCAGAATATGTTTTCCACAATACAAGCATTATTCTTCTACATCTGCATGGATTGCTAAGCCCAATACATCAAAATGATGATCCATCTTTCTATTTTCCTTAAAACTATAGTTTTGCTTATTTTGTATATTATAGGTACTTATTTTACGTAAGTTCGTGTGTGGCGTCCACTGAGAAAGGTTTGAGCTGCTTTTGTAAGGTTTTGCAAATACAAAAAAACAATTCCTGACGTACATCGATGTTGTAAAGTAATCATAATGCAACATTATAAGTACCCATTTTCAGTATTCCATAACGAGTACTGTAATGGTCAGTATATCGGTATCGTTGAGAGCAAGAGAGAGTAACACACTCACTCACACACATAGACAAGAGAACAACAAAGATGTCTAGCCTACGGCAGCACAAGCCACAGTCATGTAAAGTTTAAGTCTTGTATTAAACCAGAGAGCTTAGAATTACCGAGAGGGGAAAGCGATGCGGGATGCGCGTATCGGGCTCTGCGCATAGCAACGCCCAAGTAAGACGGTAAACACGAATCATTCTGTTCAACAATGGCTGCGAAAAACAACGCATTGTAAGTGGTCCTCTGCGATAAACTGTACAAATTCTAAGAATAAACGGCCCGACCTTTCATTTTTTTTAGATTTCCAGCCTATCCTGCAAGATAAGAATTATACTGTGCTTTCAATTCTTTGTTTGAACTATTGTTTATTTAGATTTAAACTCAATTTGGTTTTACTAGATCTAGATCTAGAATCTAGAATCTAATCTAGATCTAGTAATAAAGAGGGCCCACTATCACTCGGCCAGGAAATAATTAAGAGCCTAACGGAGCCTTAGGCATAGCAAACTGACCAAATCAAAAATAATTCATATCAGTCTTTTTTCTCTTTGCTTATATATTTTTACAGAATTATAATTATAATCTACCCCCTTTCCCGCATTTGCCTATTTCTTCATACAGGCATTTTTGTTTTAATATGTGTTTAAGTATGACAATTCATTTGAAGCACGTGATTAAATAAACCACACAAAAAAAACAGTTGCAAAGATAATGCAGAATTTGTACAAACATTTAACAAATTGTTTGTTATTTAAAAAACAACAACAGCTAATAGTAATACATGTAATAGGTGGAGAAATATATATATATATATATATATATATATATATATATATATATATATATATATATATATATATATATATATATATATATATATATATATAATCACAAAAAATGACTCAATGTTGATGCTGCTGAAAAATAAGCTCATCTCCTCACCAACAGTTTGTTCAGTGCATTTTTGTCTACTGGCAGGATGACAAATCACTTGAGTACTGGGAGAAACATCTGTGAAAGGAGACAAACTGAGGATTTATTTCTAGTCACATGAGACATAATGTCTTAGAAAAATAATAAAAATACTTCAATTAATGAAAACCCGCAGTTACAGTATTAGTTTAGTTTTAGTAAGAGTTGTATGGCACTTGCAATACAATTAGGTCACATAACTGCTGAAGATTAGAGGTGTTACAAGAAAGTAACAAACATAAAAGAGAAGGAGACATAAGGACGATAGATGTTTGATAGGAAAGAAGGAGCAAACCACACCAGTGCACCCATCAACCACCTACAAAGTGATCTTAGCTTTTTATGCTTGAACTGTCTCATCGCATGGGTGGTTGGCGGGTGCTCTGGTGTGGTTTTGTCCTTTCCTTTCAAACATCTATTGTCCTTGTCTCTCCTCCTTCTGCTCTTTGTACGTTTCCCTCTGACCCTCTTAGCCCCATAAAGAGGTCAGCAGGTCAGCACAGCACTGGTTGGTGGTTGGAGGGTTCTCTGCTGTGGTTTGTTTCTTCTTTCCTATCGAACATCTATCGTCTGTATCTCCCCTCCTTCTTTTTTGCCTTTGCTACTCTCTTGTAACACCTCTAATCTTTAGTACTAGTATGACCTTATTGTGTTGCAAGTGCCTTAAAATTCTTACTGAAACAAAACATCAGAACCAAAATGGCAGCCAGCTGATGGCTTCCCAGAACTGAATAACTTCTGTGTTTTTCAGAGGTTCAGGGGATTGATTAGAACGACGTATTTCTATTGAAATTTTCATATACAAAGACCTTGGACGTCAGCATCTAAATTTAGAGTGCAATGTTCCTATTTCTAAGGCGGATGTGTAAGGCCGGTAAAACCCGGTATGGCTCTAAACGTGGGAAAGCTGGTAAAAGCTGGTACAGCAACATGACGGGAAGGCAAGTTTAGGCCGGTGTGGCTCAAAAGGGGCTATAGTTTAACACCTAATATCTTCGGAACTTGATTGACCTAACTGTGTTGCAAGTGCCGTAAATCTTCTACTACTTCCTGCTTTCTGCTTTTTATCATGTACAACAACATCTCTTACCTTCGGCATTTATATGACCTAATTATGTTGCAAGTGCCGTAAAACTCTTATGAAAAAAAAGTAACAACAAAACTAAAACTGTCTCTTCACCCCCCAAAACAAGACTTTGCTTTCTTACGCTAAATGCACATGAACCTGCCCTGAAAGCCTGCAGCCCAAGAACACTCGGCTAGAGAGAAAGAGGAACACCCAGGAAAAGGTGGACTGAGGAAGTAAAGGACACCTTAAAAACTTGCAATTTCTTGTTTCAGGAGGTTTTCCAGTTTGCCAAGGGAAGACGTCTCTACCACCCAACAACGCCTCATGGTATAAGCCGTAGATAGAGTAAAGTGATGAACATGAACAGGGATGAAGAAGAAAAAAGAGAAACAGAATATTGGTTTACTTATGTACAGCTGCTAATGGGACCATGCATAATTTAAATAAAAGGGAGTGCTTATTTAGGCCACATATGGCCTAAATAAGGTAAGGGAGGGGGGTTTAGCTTATTTAAGCCACACTGCACTGTGGCCTTTATAAGGCAAGGGAGGGGGGTTTAGCATAATGGCGCACCTTTCTCATTTAGTACAGTTATGTCTCAGTGTACAACTTATAAATCATAATCATAATGAATATTGTAAAGAACAAAGCACAATACGCAAAATTTTGCTCAATCCCAATGGTTTGAATGAGGGTTAGATTTTTCCTTCATGGAGGGGCAAAAGCTAGGCTACCATTTTGGCACACTTTGGTCAAGTGAAAAGGTCAAATCCTCCGAATGGACTTCTGAGTCAAAGTTACACTATCTTTGCCTGAGTGACACTTTCTCGTACTGTCTCGTAGTAGTACATGTAGGCTAGTAGGCCTAGTAGTAGTAGTAGCAAAGATCGTGTAGAGAATATTTGGTAGTAGATTCTATCCAGTAGGCAGTTTAGTGAACGTGCTCGCAGCAGGGCAAATCGGCCTCGATAAGCCCCGTAGACTTTTGTGATCGGCCACGAAGCCTCGTGTTTTGATGGGTTTAAACAACTCAGTGTTATTCGCACTGTCACATCCGACAGGCCTAGATCTACATCTTTTTAAAAGGAAAAGAAAGATCATCAAAATGGTTGAATTCACATGAAAATCGATTCGGTAGAACTAGAACTATTAAAATTTGCTTCTGAAAACAAGCTGATTCATGTCATGCTCACAACTGTGCCTTATCTACAACAGGGAACTGCTGCTTTTTCTTTCCTAATCCTTACTATTGTCATTTTCCTCTACTTCTTTTGTATGTTTGTCACTCTCTTGTGAACTGCTATTTCCGAGGCGCCTTGGTAGTTGAAGCAGACCTTGTGCTGTTGAAGCTAGAGAGGTGAGCAGAGTAAGTCTGATTCCCTGTAAAGACTTCTCTGTTGACACCCACCCCTTGGCGCTCATATGACCTTATGCAGTTGCGAGTGCCGTAAAACCCTCTACTATACTAAAAATAAACATCTGTGATCATCAAGGTAAAAGAGCTTCACCGAACCACCACAGACACCAGCGACAGTAATGGTGCAAGGCTAACGTCACACCATCACTGCGCTATCAAATTGGCACATGCGTCTCATTTTTGTTCCTTTTGAGACTAAGGCGAAAAACTATTTTTCATCATGCAATAATAGTAAAACTTGCCCTGCATGTTTCTTTTGTGACTGCCAGCACATTCTTGTTTTGATTTTACCGAAACATAGATATATATATATATATATATATATATATATATATGTAGTATCACCAAACAAAATAAAAGACTAGTTGCATTTTGACACCACTCTGAGTTATGCCCTTTTGCTAGCGCAGCAACCACATGTCTGTCCCCGTGGTTTTATGCACCCTACATAATTTAGTAAAATTTGATCATTTTTTTGCATCCTTCATCATTCTTTGTTAAAATTAACAGAATCGCATAATTTCACATTTTTGGGCTCAGTTTGCATAATTTCCAAATTTTTCTTGCATAAAACGACGGGGACAGATATGTGGTGAATTCAAGCGCTCGTCAAAATAATGAAAATAAAGAAATTGGCATTTTTCCCGCCGGTTTGGCAGTTTTTCTCGAAAATTAGTTTTTTGGGCTCAACACCCTTTATGTCCATTTAAGAACACATTTGGTAGCTTTAAAGGACAAGCGGGCTAACCCGGATTTCGGGGGTTACCAGATATCTTGACCTACACCAAAAGTGGGCATTACCCTACCTTTAGGAAAAGTTTGGTTTCATTGGTGTTTATATTTGTTTGGTTATAGAGAAAACGCTCCTCGTCTTTTAAAGAAATTGAACAAGGGGCAAAAACTTTACTTTCAATTTTCTCAAAACAGCATTTTTTGGGATAGCCCCCCATGTGCTTAAAAGCGACCATTTCTGTGTGGGTTTTACATAAAAACATTGATTAAAGGCACAAAAAATGTAAATTGTCAGTTTCCACGAACTCTCAGGCTATGTAAATAGCCAAATTTAGGCAGCCATTTTCTCTCTAATTTTATCTCTGAAACCAGGCAACTTTAACCTCCTTCAATCACAAATGTCTCGTCTTCTTTTCAAGATAGGCCTGTATTTTTCTCATCAAAAGATGGTCCAACGAACAAGCTTTAAGATGAAACCAATAACTCCAGATGCCCAAAAATTGACGAGCGCCTGACTCCACCGCGTTGTGACCGCGTCGTGACACATTATATTATGATAGTCTTATATATAAACATTCTAATTTCTCACCTTCAAATCTTTCAGCTCAGCCTCCAAGACTCCGACTCTATTTTGCAAAGCCATCAAGGATTTGTAGTTGGCTTTGCATCCAACGCATCCCTTACTGACGTCACCTGTCGCAAAGGGGGGG